AAAGTGTAAATTAATCTAAACATTTAATTTGTAATAGAGGACTCTGTACACAGAAGAGGAAACGGAAGCGTGTTCTAGAATTGAATGGTTTTCTCGAAAACATAGCATTAACCATAAAATATAACTTACGGTAATTTAATTGGTATAGTTAACTACCTCAAATTGTATTCATGTATAATGAACGTACTTAACTTAAGGGGGATATGTTATAAAATTCGTAATTTCAAGCTGTACGCAGTTTGCCAAAATCATCACTTCATTGTCACTGTATCAGGCTAAGTGTACCTTACTAAATAATAAATTACTTAAGTTAGACTGCTCTCTATCTTGCACTGTTGTAGTTGTACCTGTAAGTTGGTAGTCTGAATTTAGACTACTTATGTATTCCGTATGAGTTCTACAAAGCTCAAAAAGTTAAATAAATTGAAAGTATAATAGCTCAAAATTCAGGCTCTAGATTTGATTTATAATTTTTCTTAAATTACTTGAAAACAGATTCATGAGAGACTTGGAATATAGTACCTTTACTAGTATTAGTATTACTAGTCTTTAACATATTGTTAATTATTTTAATATATACATTTCTTTAGTTTCAATCAAGAGTTAGAAGAACTTTTTTAGTAATTTAGTAGTACAGGCTTGCATGAAATTCATGCCCAGTTACAGTGGTTGGGCAGTGTCCATGTTTATGGGCACAAGCACACTGATGCTTGAAAACTTTGTAAAAGAAGTGTTGCAAGGGCTTGTAAGAGCCCCCATCAAGTCTGTCATGAGGTTCCCTGTTTTTGGGCTCACTACTGGTCCTTTTAATGTCGTATTACTGATAGTGTAACATCCCTAATCTAAACCAATTAAAACTAAAGTATCAGAGTCATAGTAGCCAACAGAGCCACATAACCTCTGATTGTATAGCCAGTGCCATGACAAATAATAACAGGATCTGAATTCAAAAGTATTAATTTTTTTGGCCTAGGTTAGTGAAGTTACATGCTTAGTAATATGACATTTTCAAACTATACTGCTCTCTCTCTCTCTCTCTCTCTTATATATATATATATATATTTAAAGATCAAATATTTGTGACTGAGAACATAAATGTATTTTAAAGTTTAAATTACAAAATTTGATATCAATTATTAGTCAATTCAGACTAACAAGAAGAGTTTTAATAAATTTGATCCTGATCTAATTGCATTTGATGAAATATTTATTGCATGAGACGAGGCTGCTATATTGATTGGTAGTTGTTGTACTTGCTTTGAACATGACTCAGTTTAGTTTGTTTTGTTGATAGAAAAACAGCACAATTCAGTCATTACAAAATAACCTTTGTTATCCAATTTTATAAAGAAAGAATCAATATATATGGCATCAGCTCACTAACAGCCCTCTTGCATTTTTTAAATATGAAGAATTGCCAGTTAAAATTTAAATTGATCATCTGTGTTGACACTGGGTATGTAAACCAAAATGAGAAGACCTTGGGAGTATAAATGAGTGTTCCAAACTTGTGTTTTTTGGGGAAAGAAAGCCCATCATTCTCCATTCCTGTTTTTTCCTTTCGCTCATGTGAATTGTACCATAACATAGAATGTGCATGCAGACTGAAACTTTTTTAATTGTCTAATTCATTTTAATATAAAATTTAAGATCAACAAGGAACTTGATGATCCATCTAGGCTGTCCAATCCACTAAACTAATCGTAAAAAAAACTGGAAGCCAGCAGTTATCACTTAAATAGTTATCAAGCCTTCCCTTAAATGTGTTACGTTCACCTCATCTGAAGGCAATCCATTCCAAAGGCCAACCACCCTATTATACAAACAAAAATCTTAGATGAAAATGATTCATATCTTGCCAAAAATTATATTTGTTTCCCTTTTTTCCTACCATTTTCATGATTAAGTACAAAAATAAGCTGATGCATCAACATTATCAATTTCCTTAACAATCTTAAACACCTCACTAACTCTTCTTTTTTCAGTAGGACATAATTTCATATATCTTAACCTGTTTTTTGTACAAAAACCTTTTCATCTTAAGTTTATTATCTTAGCAACCCTTCTCTGAAGTCTTTTCAAACAATTCTTTATCTTTCTTAAGGTAAGGGTCCAAAACTTCTTTAGACTTGTATTCAATATTTATGTAGACAATCTAAAATCCTATTTGCCCTGCTACTAGAAACAACACACTGCTTTGATGGATTAAGAACCTCTTCTTTCATAACAATGTTATGGTTATTCCCATAAGAATTACACTAATAATTCAAATTATGATAACTTGCATATATGACCTTGCATTTATTGTAATTAAAAGCCATCTAGCTTTTATTTGCTCAACTCACTGAATAATCCAAATATTTTTGTAAAGCAACAGCATCCCCTCTCACAGCCAGCAACAACCAAGATCTTAATTACTGTAATAAGCAAGTTTAACTACCATATTGATCATTCCTTTATCTATGTCATTGATGTAAATCAAAAAGACCAATAGTCTTAACTCTAAGCCCTGCGTTAACCCACTTATAAATTAATCCTGTTTTACTGAACTTCATTTATAACAACCTTCTACTTTCTTCTAGCTATATTTCTATCCAATAAGCCAACATATTATCCACACCTATAGAAATAATTTTGTAACAAGCCCTTTATGTGGCACCTTGTCAAATGCTTTCTGAAAATCCAGATACACCAAATCCATGTCTTTTTCCCTCACCTACATAAACAGTAACCTCTTCAAGGGACATAATAAGATTAGTAAGGCAATATAATTTCCTTGTGAAACCAAACTGACTATCCAACAATATTTTAAACTTTGTTAAATGACTGTAAAGCATCTTTTTATAAGAATTTCCAAAATGTTTCCTACCTCTCAAAAAGGAAGTAACAACAGCCATCTTCCAGTCTTTTGACACCTTCTATCTCTTCAAATGCTTTAAAAAAAACTAAAAAACAGGTGGCTGACATACCCAATCTTTAACCTCCTTCAAAACTCTTGGGAAATATTGCTTGGTCTACGAGTATTATCATACTTTAAACTTCCCAATTTTTCTTAACAAGCACTGAGTTAATGTGATAATTGTTATTCATCAAACTTGTTTTTCTCTACCAACTGCTCAAATCTTCAAATTTGTTGTCCATATGTTATGATTTTTTTATGTTTGGTGTTAACGTGGCTCTTGACACTTCTTCATGGCCCTGTTCTTATAGATGTTAAGTGTTAATATATCCTATGTACAAATAGAAAACATTCTCAGTGTTCATTTTTATGTGTCATGTGACACATCTGGGTTTTGATTTTCCACATTAGAATTTTATGACATCAGAAATAGGCAGCTTCAGTTCTCAACCAAACAGAAATGCAAACTTCACATAATTTAATGCAAGAATCTAGAATTTGAATCTCCTATATTCTTGACTTGCTGAGGAGATATCAATAAATCTTTATAAACCACCAGAGAAACCCTTCTATGCCTAATTTTTGAGATTGTGTGCTAAATAAACTTACATGGTTGATGGACATGTTTGTAATCAATAGAAAGAGCAGGTTCACCTCTGTATAAAACTTACAATCATCTTTTTGAATTTGGTGACAGAGTGTTTACATGATAGAACTGTCTTATTGTGTGATCATTGTTGTGGTGCACTGAATGGCTAAAGGAATTTTATTAATCCATATATAGCTTTTTTAAAAATTTGTATAAGCTGTAGCAATTTTGAGACATTCTTCTCTAGTGACTGATATATTTTTTATGTTCTAAAATCCAGATTTGAAAGCTACATCAATTATTTATTGGACACCCAAATTTGTGAGACTTAACGAGTCCTAGGGGACAGCTCCAGCGCAAACATAAGTGCAAAGCAGTTTGGTTGTGAAGTGAGTACTACTCCAAATTCTTCTTTTTGTTTAATTTTTATTATTACTTGTATATTTTTAACAAAAGTAACTAAAATGTAAAAATCAAAAACTTCTGAGCTTAGCCTAACAAAACTGTAGTAAAACGTTTAAAGTTTTGCAAGCATTGAATGTGTCTCGAGGTATAGTGTATACTCACGTTCTGTTTGTGTTACACTTGCCAGGAAAGCTATGGTTTCCACTGTGGTTTACTGCTTTGTTGACATGAGAATTACTGCCCCAGTGGGTACAAAGTACTGCAGTAAAACCATAAAAGAAAAAAAGGTAATAGTTGAGTTGAAATTTTGAAGAAAAGTGACTTGGAACTTTTTGAGCAATATCTCAGTCAGTTTAAACAACAGAATCGTATTACACAAATTATTCCCTATTTTTCAACTGTACATTAATGTTTCTTTACAGACTTGAAAATCAAGTATGCTGTTAGTGTTAAGGTATAAACATATATATGTATAAATATATATAAATATACAAAATTTTACCAAAAACATTCACTATTCGTTTAGGGGGTTCCAGAGGTTATACAAATGAAATATAAAAACTGTAAAATGAAAAGAAGTATTTTTATTCTTAGCAAAAAATAACCATTCACTCAGATTGATTTATTAAAGGCTTTTAAAATTTACAAACACATCTTTGGTAAAATACTTTATTAAAAAATATATTTTTATGTGTGTAAAACACTTGCAATATTTACTAAATTCCATCAATTCATTAAATTCAGAATTATAGTAAAAATTTGTATGTAAGATCTAAGGTTAGTCAGTTTAACATGAAGAGATGATTAATCTTATAGATCACATTGATACTATTTTAAACTTAAATAACATCACCCTCTTATCCTCCTTTTCTCAAGAGAAAATGTGAGATCTTAACCTATTCATGTAAGATAGCTCTTCTATCTCTGGAATCCTCCTACTAGCTTTCCTCTGAATCTTTTCCATAAAATATGACTTCTGAATAATGTGACCATTTGGGAAATTGTATATACTTTGTACAAAAGTGTAAATTGGTGAAAAATGTGAATAGATAATTTACTAAAACTATAAAATGGTGTCTGAGATTTATGATTGGTGTTTAATTGCATGGTTTGTTACAGTGATTTGGACTATTATAATACTAGAAAGAGCTAGGTTATTTAATTGATTACCTGTGAGTAGATGTTACATGAATTAGTGTCACATAAACTGAGTAATTGAAATTATGATTAAATACATTAATTGAAGTTAATTTTTCCAAACGTTATGTTTTTGATTATTCCAACAATCAATTAATTGAAATTCTGATTATATTGTCACAATAAAAGTAATCAATTAATCAATATTAGTTTTTACTTATTTCAATAGTCAATTAACCAAAATAATGAGTAAATTGGTTGTCATGAAAATAATCAACTAATGAGAATTAGGGTTTTTGATTATTACTAATTTAGGTCATTCCAATTATCTGAATAATTGAAATATTGCCATCAAACTTGCTCACCCTGTCTTTGTTGTCACAAAGCTTCTAGGCTATCTGCCACTGTCATTAATATCAAACTGCTGATTAGAGAGAAAGCAACTGGCTGGTAGCAACTGCCACCAACATCTCTCTTTTTTCTGTTTTTTTTTTTTTTTGAACTGCTGACTAGAAGGATAGCAATTTTTTGGTCACACTCACTACCATCCATTTTCTTTTGTATCATTTTTGTTGTGATGGACTGCTGAATAGAGGGTTGGAAACTAATAGAACACCTGCTTTTTGTTTGTTTGTTTGTTTGTACACACCATGATTTGAGGAACACTGTATTAATTGATTAGTGGGGCCATCAATTAATTAATTAGCAAATACCACTAATCACTCAGCTCTACTGCTGGAGTTGGAAATAGTAGTCTTTCTCTAAAACATCTGCACTGGACAAAGCAAATTATTTACTTACTATAGAAATTCAGACAAAAGTTTAAAAGTTCAGTTTACCATAATTCACTGCTGCACACATCACTGACTATTTGAAACAACATTTATAGTGATGAAAACCCCTAATTCATATCAAGTATGAAACTCCAGGGGTCTTGGACACAGGGCTGATATGAATTTCTAGCTGTTGGAATATACAACTTTACTTGAGTAAAAGGATTACAACCATTAAAAATCCATTTAATAAGAATGTGATTTACTTAGAGCAGGAACTGCTTGGGAAATTACTAAAATTATGTGGATATATTTGACCAAAGGTATATTCTAAATTACTCATGGAAGGGAAAAATTCATGATTCTTTCATACATCAAAATTACATATTAAGGATCACTATAATATATACATGATTCAGGTAAATTACAATATTTTAATTTTTTGAAAACATTACTTGTTATTTGGACCATGGAAAGGGTGTGGACTTGGGGTTTTTAGATTTTGAAAAAAAAGCTTTTTATAGGGTACCACACAAAAGTTAACTAGGAAAACCACACTGGGGTAAAGAAAAGACTAGTTACTTGGATTCTAGAGTGTGAGATATTTGAAGGTTGTTGTTAACAGGGTCCGATCATAATGGAGCCTTATTAATAGTGGAGTACATCATTAGTTAATGCTGGAGTCTTTGCTCTCTTATTTACATTAATGTTATTGATAGTGGCATAATTAGTTTGTTAATGTCATTAAACTCTTGGGTATTTTGAGTTGTATTAAGAATGTTGAGGGATTACAGAATGATAAATAACCTTTGATTATAGTTAGTGCAAGATAATGTATTTGGATTATCATAATTTGGATCACACATTTAATATAGATGGAAACCAATTCAGTAGAGTGACTGAAGGAAAGGATCTTGACATAGGTGGCTAAGTCACTCAAGGTGTATTTGTAGACATTGATTACAGGTCGAAAGACTTAATTATCTCTTAATACAAATCACTAGTTAGTCCTCACTTGGAACATTGTACACATGTACAGTTTTGTTCTTATCTAAAAAAGATGATTGACATATTGAAAGGGTTCAGACAAGGGCTGCTAGGATGCTTCCAGTGATAGAAGCATTATTTTAAAAGTTAACATCTCTTAACTTGTCTTCTAAGAAGAAAAAAAATAGAGGTTATTTTACCAAAGTTTACAATATTATCTGGAAGATGTATAGAATAAAGGTTTTTTTGTGTTATACTTAGAATATGATAGGATAAGAGGGCACAATTTTACCATTTGGAAAAATATAGTGAGGCTCCTGTTAAAACAGTTTTATTTTTTATAACAGGATGAATGAGTTGCTGTTGGCAATAGTGGAGGCCAGCACTTTACTGGAGTTTGAGAGGGGAATCAATGATTTATTTAAAAGTAAAGGGTGGGTTTAAATTGTTCTTTTGCTAAGAATGTGTGAATGAGGATAGCCTTGAAGGAGTAATAAAAGACACAGCAAAAACATTATTTCAAACTACCTACAGAAACCAATTTTACTCTACTTCATCTTGATCTTTAAAATGTTTGTCTTAATTTCCTTTTAAACTCCTTAATTTGGTCAGCTTCTATGAAGTCTGAAGTCAATTTATTAACATAACATTTAAAGGTCAGCAAGGAGCCTGTTGATCCATCAAGGCTGGCTCGTCCCAAAAAAAACAACAAAAAAACAATTCAAATCTAACCCTGATCATTTAAATATTTATTGAGCCTTCCCTTAAATTTCCCCCATCCTCTGTGTCTAAAAGCAACCCATTACAAAGACTAATCACACTCTTAGAGAAGTAAAACTGTGTAAGCTGAAGATGACTCCTATCCTGCCCTATTCTGTGCCCCCTTTTCTGCCATTCTCATGATTAAATGCAAGAAGAGATTATGCAGTCATACTGTCAACTTTCTGAATAATACACGTGTAGAAAACCTCAATCAGAGCCTTCTAATTCTTTCTTTTTTTCAAAATAAAACAATTTCAGGGATCTTCGCCTGTCATCATGTGAAAGCCTTTCCTTCCCAGGTATCATCCTAGTGGCCCTCCTTTTTCACCCTTTTCAACAATTATGATAAGGATTATAAGACTAACCATTTCAGTAGAAAAGCAACACTTTTTTATGAAATAGTGTGAAATAGTCTTGAACTTGAATCCTCTAGTTGTACTGCCTGTATGGACTTTTTTACATGTCATTTGGATTTATGGATGCAACAGTTCAATCAGTCCTTCCCACCTCCCCTTTCAAACTCTTTCTTCCTTCAGTGAAGAACATGACAGTAGGTATGCACTAAGATTTTTATATTTTTTACTTTACAGGGATGTGGAGAAGAGTTTTCTTATCAGCATTTCGAACTGGATTACAGGTGAATTGCTGTTCTATAGCTCCAAGAGAACAAATTAACATCAGAGGTAGACTGCTCAGTTCATTTTTCACAGGTTCATTATCATCTGGTGTTGAGACACAAAAGTTAGTCACTCATCTTGGGAAACAGCCTAACAGTGTATTGCCTATTATTAACAACCAATGGTAGGTTCAATTTAACTCGGTTATTCATAATTAAATGTGAAAAAAATTACATGTTGTTTTAGTAACAGAGATTTTTTGTATTAGTATTATTAGTGGTAGGAAAATCTAAAAAGTGTGACATTAGAAGTGTTTGTATTGTCACAGTAACAAAAATGTATTGTTGTGAACTGTTTTAATTTTGTATTGTTTGCTGAAGAGAGTTTTTGCATAACTCCTAGAAAGTTCCTCAATGTCTAGATTTAATATAACCTCTAGAATTTTCCAGAAACTTGGGGAGAAACATGGTAGCAATATAAAAATACCAGAAGTGGTGTTGATTAGTTAGTTTGTCAGATATTGAGTCTGTTAATCAGCCAGTGTTCAGTTTGCATCATGGATATAAGAGGAATTTTAACAAGTGACTGTTTAGTTTTATTTCTGAGTTAGGCCTATTTCTTCGTGAGTTTCTAGAAATTGTAGTAGAACTGGACTTTGTATTATTTAATACTGAATAACAAAGAAAACCTGCCAAATGGTATAATAAAGGAAATTCATCAGGATTAGGCAGAACTTGCTTACTTGAGCATGTTAAAGATAACTTTAGGGAAGATTGTGCTTTTATATGAAGAAAATAGATTAAGAAAGCAAGACAGAAGAAGAAAATTGGGAATAAACTCAGACATTTAAGAAGATTATGTTGATAAATAAATTGGAATATTTAATGAACAATAGAAAGGCTACGAATTTAGTTAGAAAATAAAATAGGAGATCAAAAAATTATTATGAGAAACAACTAGCTCAATACATTAAAGGTAAGAAAATGTTAAAATGTAGTCTCTTAGGGGATGTGTGATGGCAAGGGTTTTGTTGATGACTGTGAAATGGCTGAGCTTCTAAGTGTTTTCTTCTTTTTATACAAGACAATATATTAGTAACATTCCTAACCCTGAGATTTCTACTGGAAATATTGGAATTGACCTGAATCTTGTAGATTTATATTAAGCCCTTGGTGGTAAGTAGGAAGATGGATTGATTAAAATAAAGTACAAGGATCAGACATTCCCCAGGCTTTTAAAGGTGGTCAGTTATTAGATTTCTGAGTCTGTCTTTTTATTTTTTTGTAGACAGTGGGCAGGTGCCTAAGGATTGTAAAATTGATAATGTTACTCTTATTTTTAAAGGGGATGGTGAGAGTAACCCAGAAATTTATAGAGCAGTTAGTCTTACTCTTGAAGTGGGAAAAATTCCAGAGAGTCTGAGAAAAGAAGCTTTACAAAATAATTTAGTGAAATATGATATTATAATACAAAGCCAACTTGGATTCACTAAAGGGAAATCTTGCTTTATTAATCTGTTAACTTTTTTCATGGATGCTTCATGTTATCTGGATGATTGATAAAGAGTCACACAAAACATTAGACAAAAAGTTCAAATTAGTAAGGGTTGGGGAAAGAATAGTTAATTTGATTGTGGGATTGTTTATTGAGAGAAAGGAAAAGATTGTTATTAATAATCTGTCATTTGTTATACTAGTGGAATACTTAAAAGGTTAGTGCTTGGGTCTTTCCCATTTACATTAATGATATTTATAGAGACATAGTTAGTATATAAATTAGTTAAATTTGGTGATGTCATTGAATTCTAGTATTTTTAGCTGTATTGAGGTCAGATGGACAAATACTTGGTTTATCATAATTTCAATTGCATGTATAATGACTGTAGAAAAGAATTTTGGCATAATTGTATACAAGTTACTTAAACCTTTGAGGTACAAAGACAGCACAAGACTCACATAAAATTTTAATTCAGCCATTGCAGAACATACTGTGTCAACTGGACACAAAATAAACTTGGATAAAACTAGAATCATTGACACACAAATTTTGGACAACAAGAAAAATTAAAGAATTTTTCTACATTAATGCAATAAAGCCTTTACTAAACAGAGATTCAGGATTAGAGGTTAACAATCTATGGTTACCATTAGTCGAAACCTCATGCAGTCTTTTCACCAATCAGAACCAGGGATCAACCAAGCACAACACATTTTCCTCAATCCACCAGGCTACTATAAAGACCCGCAACATCTTACACACACTGACCTGAAGACAGAAGACTTTAAAAACGTTGTTCTCTACACTCTTGTTTTTACAACAGGCAGTTGTTGTCCATTCCAGTTTATTAATCATGAATACTCTGCCTAAAAAAATCTGTCAAAGCATAACCTTTGTTTGTAAAAAATGCTAATGAGTTTATGAGCTCTTTCTATGAAATCTCGTACTGTAGAACGATTGTAGTCTATTGTATCTAATAAACTGTTGTAAATATTATAACATAAGTTTGTATTGGAAATGGGAAATTTATAACTTCAAAGTTAAAAAGATAAACTTGCAGAACACTTGTACCTTGGATGTATGAAATGGTGGAAAACCAGTCTGGTTATCTTTTAAGTATGCGGGTACTACATTTTTTTTATTTTAACACTGCCTGTATCTGCAAACTGGATGTGCTCAGCTCATGTTGGTCAGACAAAATTGACCCATTGTGGATTTTTTTTTGTATTTCCTTTTTAAGCAATATTATTGGCTAAAAGAATGATTTAATTTCACTGGACCAATGTAGTTGTCTCCTTTATCAATCACTAGGGGACACCTCATTTTGCTCTCCCTGTTTCAATCAACCTCTTTTTTTTTAAGCCCATTCTCTAAAAGTACGTCTACTAGCTTGTTTTATTCTGGGCACCCAAAGTAATGTCATAGATCATCTCGAGGCCTGGCAAGATACTACCTGTGGATTGGTCTCTCATTCCTCTGGTGTTCAAGTGCCCGTGTTCTCATCTGGACATTCTTCTAGATGTTTTTGCCACTCTTCTCAACACCCTACTTCTAATTTTCTGGTCCACTGTTTCTCTTCCCTCAGCTTTAGCTGGGGTTGCATTCCATGTCAGGACTGGTACAACTTTTTTTTCTCCATGCTTGCACTTCAACTTGTCTTTTCCCTCATGTTTTCCCTAATTCTGGATGCTCTATGTTGAGTCCTCCTGATAATTCTGTACTGGCTCAGCCATGGTTTCCTCTATTGCACCTTCTCCTGCTCCCCTTCTGTCATTCCCCTCTCTCCCATTCATCAAGGTCATCACTCTGAGTTTATGTGTGTGGGTTTTGTCTGGTTCCTTGCAAGATGTTTCAGGCTCTCTTTACATGTAGCCTTCTTTCTTTCTTGTTCAGCTCATTCTTCCCTCCTCCTTTTATATCCACAATAAGGACTCAAATTCTGTAGTTTTTTCTTTGCATCAAGTTTTATTCCGTTCCCTTCTTTCTATCCTCCATCTTTCTAAATTGTTTTGTTGGCTATTCAAACAAGGCTTATCCTTTTGAACCAGGGCTGGTTACTGGGCCGCCCTACCTAACACTTTTAGTTTTTATTATCCTTATGCATTCTCTTCTCCTGTTTTTTCTATTCTTTTTGCCACCTTCATCTTCTTCTTCATATAGTCTTTCCTGATTTGGACATGAATACTGTTTTCCACACCCATACCTTTTAGCCTCTTGTTCTCTGTACCATTTTTGGCTTAGGTCCTCCTCCTTACTTTTGGCCTGTGGCTGTAGGAGATATGATGAATATGCCATTGCTGCTTCCTGTATTTTTTTTCATTCCATTTCTCAATGTTATTATTATTCTGTTCCAGATTGTTTTCTCTGTCCCATCCATGTGGTTCTTTGTTCTTTGGCCCACTTTGCTTCTTTTCATGATTCACTCCCATTTGTTTATTCTTTGGAATTTCTTATCACCCAAAGATATTTCTCCTATTGTTCCTAAAAGATGGCTACAGCAACCTATGGTACATTTAGCCTATGCTTCTTTGAATGTAGGTTCACATCGACTCTTTCAATTCTTCTCCCACCAAATCCAACACCATAGTCTCTCTCTCTCTGGCTTTTCACTTTCATCATCCATTGGAGGAGTTTCTGTGGGCTGGTGTGTGCTACCTCACTTTCTTTTGCTGCACATTTTCTTCATCTTGTGGCCATCTTTTCTTCTTCCAGATAACAACTTCCTCCTGTCTCCGTTTTACATCCTTCTTACTGGCTCTGCATGGTAAGTTCCCTTTTTATATATGTTACCTCTACAATGGCCTATTTTTACATCTCTTAATCCCACTCAATGGTGAGTGATGCCTGTCAGGGTATAACTTTAAATCTGCATCATGTGACTTTTAAAGGCCTGTAACACTCACTGATAAGATGGGGTGTTCCAAAAGACTGCTCGAGGGTTTCTCATGGTATATTGCTTCATAAGTAAGGTCTGTTCCAGACTGTACCAAATCTTGGACTGTCATGAGTAAAGCAGTGTTGGGATTGTTGTCCATCTCTCTGGTCCTAGTTGAATAAACTGGAACCAGCCTGTTTTCCAGAATATTGTTTTTGTGGACTCCCAACTGCATTGTTCCCCTTTTCTAGTACAGTACAGGAGAATTGCCACTTACCAGTTCCTAGCTGCTGAGGTGGTGGACCATGGAAGCTTCCTTCTGAGTGTGACTACTTCCATTCAGTTGAGAGTAGAGCAGTGGTGTTCTGTTAGTGTAGATGATGAGTACTTTCCTCCTACCACAGAACAGAGGACAAATACCCAATGCTGCCTGATTTTGGACTGGACAGATCCACCATATGCAGTTCACCCCTTCAGTTGGCTTTCCCCCATCCTACTGCCACCTGGAGGTCAGTTCCTGGGTAGTCTGGTGTTGTAGGACCAGCCAAAATATGTCTTCACAAATGTGGTTGGTAGGGATCCTCCTCCTACCATGGACTGGATGAAAATTTCCTGCCACTGCCTAGTTTTGGATCATAGTTGACCCTTCCTACCATTGCCTGGATGTCTGGTAGCCTAGTGTGGGTTGTGCACTGGGTCTGCACAAGTGTACCCTGCCTGGGTTATCTGAATAGAAGTTGCTTTTCCCTTCTGCTTTCTGGTCTTGAGGTGAAGATGGTTGGGACTCTTCTCCTATAGTAGACCAAAAGACACATACTCGATGCTGTGCTCTAGCCACTCTACACCCTCTAGCATATTTAGTTACTGATTGGACTTGCTTATTTTTTTGCCTGGATTAGTGATGTATCTTTTACAGTGAGCAAAGAGTATACCTGGTACAAATATGCTGTCATCTCCCACAAGTGTGACCCTATATATTAGGGTATTACACTCCATGGGTTCTCTTCATTTGCCTTCTGAAGAGTGCTCATCTAAGTAACTTTTGTACCAGTCCCTTCACCATTTCAGTGTGTGATTCTATCTATTATGTAAGTGGAGATAAGGTATCATATCAAAAATTAACATTTTCCACCACTGCTAGGAGGGTTGTTGCATGCTACAATGCAGCTATGCCATGTGTAAACATGGGATGTTAGGTGGGAGCCTCAAAACTAGTGGCAAACAAATATTGCACATATATAGAGGGCAGCACAAATCAAGGAAAGCTATTATGTGAGAAGAGAGGTAAGTATCTATCAGAAATACATTTTCAGTGTTGGAAAATGTTTCGGTTTTCAATGACATCACATAACCTTTGAACACTAAATAATGTCAAAATGTAGTTGTGATACATTCTGTTCCACTATAACTTTATATCAGTTGTAAATTTGTTACCCACCAACAAATGGTTTGTATTGGTGCACAATGTTTGGATAGGTGATAGGTATGAGACTCAGTACACCCCATGATCAGTTGAAGTGGAACTGACTAAATTTTTGTGACTTTATAAAATGGTAGTTTAAGTCTACATATATACAGAAGGTTTATTGTGTTAACACCATTTTATAAGTCTCACCACATTGTTACACTCAGTATCATATTTTTATGCTTTTGGTCTGTTTTAACACCATCTTGTTTGGATGTGTATAAATTTCAATAGTTGCTTGTCCTTAATGTTAACTTTCATGCCATGGCTACTTGCCATATCTCAGCATTAATGAAAGATTTTTTTAAAGATGTCCCAGTGGCTAAAACTAAATAATAATTAATTAAATAATTTTACTTTGGTAAAAACCTTTTCCAGGTAACTTGTTAAAATTTTGATGAATCACAAATATAAATTCTTGATGTTTACTCTAAGATTATCTTCAGCAAAGATTATTGCAATTATAACTGTGGTGTCAGGCATAATAAAGGCCAATCACATTTAGCACCGTTAATGATAAAATAGCTCCAAGGATACCATTTCACTTTCAACATCATATTTATAAAGTATGACTAACACTCACTGTTGAGTAACTAAAGTCATACCTTTCTTTATCCAAAATTATAATAGATTATGCTTATCATAATTTTTGAAGGTGTAGGTTCTGTGAAAGTTTATATATTTCTTTAATCATGAAACACCTTGCCCAAGTATGTTTTATCATGGTATTGGTAACTATGCTAATGAGTTATGAATATATAGTGAGATTCTTGTACAAAAACTATATTATTGCAGTTACAGAACAGATACTCCCCTCCTCCCAAAAAAAACGACATTCAAAACTTTGAGTTTCATAACAGAAAATTTATACTTGTGATGAAAAGTTTGGCCCACTTCTTAAATAACTTGAATTACGTGTAATATAAAAAGATTCTAGTGGCTCAGAAACTTGACCAGTATTGACCTGATAATTCATTTTATACAGAAACATAGCTTGGAAAGTTTCAGTTTTGATTTAAAAGACTAGAGCATATTGCTGAGAACTGCAAGGTGAGACATCAACAAAAAATGCAATAAAAGAAAGTATTTTGCATAACTAAACAAATTGACAAAATAATATTAAAATTATTTTCCACAAGAAATGTTTCAAGAAGATCAGTGCAAATGTATTTTAGAACAGGAACAAATTAAATTTCAATGTCAGCATATGTGTTATGATATAAAAGACTGTTTGGTTAAGATATTAGTGATTAATTTATTTTTGTGAGTGAATATTTTATTATTGTTTAGTTTTTGTTATAATAGAAGTTTAAAAGCAGACAATTGTAGGAAGTTTGTTAATAATTCATTGACGTTGAGAATATAGAAGGTAGACAGACGATTAAGTGATAAATATATATATAGTGTGAGATGAGCAGGAACAACAGACAGTAATAGCAAAAGGGAATATAGTTGGTGTGAAGTTAACTTCTGTATAAGTGATAGGCCTAACGTTTAATACATTAGAGTGAAACTAACAGTAGAAAAGAACATATGAAAAATAATTTTATTCTGTCAATGTGGTTCTAAAGTAACTGAATCAGCTTGGGTACACTTTGACAAAAGGAACAGAGAATCTTAAAAAGAAAGAAGACCAAATGATTATGGTAACTTGCACCACAATTATAAGTGAATTACAGAGACTACTAGTGTGATAGAAATAGAGAAGATAGTTTGGCTTGTCAACTGAAATTCTAAAGTAATTGAATTGGCCTAAGTGGATATTTGACAAGAAGGAGAGAACTACATATATAGTATTTATGATATGTCCATAACACCTATAGTGTTGAAGAATTTATTGTACATAGGTTAACTTGTTCTGCATATACATTATTTTAAGAACATGTGAAGTGCATGCCATTTATTCATCATTGAGTTTATCGCTAACAAGTCACAAACACCTACTGTAGAATAATCCTGAGCCCAACAACAACATAGTATATATTTATATTATTAAGAAATATAAATAAAAGCTTTTCTATTTGACATTTGGCAAAAAGGAAAGTTATATATTTTTTATTTTAAATTCTGACAATATGCTACTAATTTAAGCTCCAATATAGTATAAAAAGAGCAACTAAAATGTAAAAGAAATGTAATTGAAATTGGATATAATATTGAGAGAAGCAAAAGAATAGTTAGTGAAAAATATTACATGAATTTTAAACCAATACAGATAGGTATTTGTCAGACAAAAATTAAAATTCAATAGTGCACCATTATAATGTGGAAAAACTATTTGTTTATTTTGTTTACAGAGTTTCCTCTTGGTTTCAAAGCATTATCAGTGATCGAGAAAACATATATGTGAATATTTTTAATTGGAATTTTGAGGATTTGGCGGAATTCTTTTCAAGTTGCTGAAAACCTGCAATTGATAATACATTATCACTCCCAAATTCACATTCTGGTTCAGAGCTTCAGAAGTAGACCTACATCTGATGGTGGCATTGAGACAACCACATCATCAAACATAGAAATAATTTCACTAGATGGAGAATTTCATTGGTTATCTCCTTTGAGATAAAGTAGATCATCTGAAACCCCTGCCTCTGATAATAGCACAAAAGGAATTGTACTTGCTGTTCAGGAAAAATAAGAGAAATGTGATATAGATGGCATCAGAAAAACACCAGACTAACATATTAGACACTTACATCTTATTAAAGAGGATGACAGAGATAAAAGATTTGAGAAAGAGAAAATTTATTAGAGCTAAGTAGAGAGGATATTAATCTTTCAGAGCAATAGCTGTTTGCTCAGTTAAAAAGGAAGCTTACTCCACAGAAAGCACAGAAGTATCTGGCCTAGTCAAGGAGTTCACACCACAGAATTGCTTCAGGAAAGAAAGAGAGAAATTTCAGGGCTCAGGCTATACTTCTGTTAAGACAATTTTAGTTTTTAACAGGGTGACTAACTTTTGAGAAATGTTAGCAGAAGTGAAGGCCAGTATTTTACAGGAGTTTTCAGAGGGGAATCAATGAATGCCTGGAAAGTAAAGGTTATGTTCAAATTTTACTATCCTTAAAGGTGGGGTATGCAAGGACATCCATGAAGGACCAAATGGTCCCTTGTTGTCTGTATGTTATTAATACAAACAATTGCTGTCACATACGTTGATATATAGCACATAATTACTCACTGTTATCCCAGTTAGGCAGTTATACACACACACACACCTAGTAATGAGCTTGGCCAATTAACTATAATGTTCAAACAATATTATTTATAATTTGACTGCATTGGTTCATCACTTGAATACCTTTGTTGTAAAACATTAAAATAGATATATATTATAACTAACACTATGTGTCTGCACTGTGGTAAAAGTCTCACTTGTTTAGGCTGATGTCCAAGTAAGAACTACCACTCGTGGCTATTCTGAGTTAAACCAACTTAGTAGATTTAGCTTAGTCCTAAATTCATAAAACAAGCTAACATTGTGAAATAATGTTTATAATAATAATTAAAACTATTTATAGTAGATATAATAACCAATACTGTTATTGAAAGTAACCCAGAAAGAATAGGATACAAGTAATTTACCATTGTTGGTTGAAATTAAATAAAATATGCAGCTGTAAGTATCTTAATTTTTTATTTGTAATCAAGTTTTATTTTATCATCCCAGTGTTTTCAACTTTTATATAATACATTATGATGTAGTTACTTGTTGTTTGTCCATTTTAAAGTTGTATAGATGTCACTGAAATCTCTGGTAGAAGTGTTTAGAACTAGTTGATGGTTTTCAATGTTTTAAGAAATATAATTTTTTAATTTTAAATAAATCAGTCACTGTTTTTTTTTTAACTGTTTACTTTATGACAACAGGACAACATTATATGGAAAAACAACAATATTGCAGTCTTCTCTCTGTCCAGCTTTACTCCAGTTTTCCAGGTCTTTGATAAAATTTTCACTAAGAAAAGGTAAGAGGAAGACAGTGAAAGCAGTTGTGAAACGTTTTTACCGCCTGCAGAGTGGAGTGTGGATACGAACACGAGCTGGAAAAAACAGGAAACTTTACAAGAAATCCCCAAGAAGGAAGTACAGGATTAGACAGCATGTTTTTTGCAATAAGACACAATCAATTATGTTAGACAAAATGGTAACAAAATATTGGAAGAAACCTAAATACTATATAGATGACATTTATGAGCCTTATCATGTATGTCATAACTTTCCTTACGTTCCAAGGATACGATAGGTGTGATAATATCAAGCTTTTGGGATTAGGATAGATTAATGATTAGCTGTTTTGAACTTCTTTATTGTAAGAAAATCTGTTTTACATGTAAAATATATTTACTGTAAATGATTGAAGTACTGGAATGGGTGATTGATGTTACCCAGTGAGTGTTTTCTACCAAATGTTTGGCATTTCTGTAAATGCTAAAACTGACAGTTTGATTACTTAAATCATTGGGAACTTATTCTGATTTTACTGAACCTCTTTGTATACTTGAAGCCATAAAATGATTAGATTCTGTCGATGTGAGTATTTAGTGGATTTTATGGTTTACAAAATAAATACAAAATTGGGAATTTAAAAACCTACAAATAGGGATTATAACAAACGTAAGGAAACAAGATTGGAGATACTGTGGACATTATGTACTCAAACTACAAATCCCTATTTTTGACTCCATCAAATGTAATTCTATGTAACAGCATGGAGCCAAAATAGGGATTTGTAGTTTGAGTACATAATGTCTACAGTATCTCCAGCCTTGTTTCCTTACTTTTTTTGATCCTTATTTGCAGGTTTTTAAATTCCCAATTTTTTATATTGTTTGCTAGCATTTTCATGCTCAACTATGGGCAAAGGATTACATATATGGTAGCTAACTTTTACATTGTAATGATAATAAACATAGCTAGTAATTAGCTGATGTGGTTCATGATGATTTATTGTAGCTATTGACTGTTTGATCCCATTATTTGAGATGTAAAATGTTAAGCTGCAGTTGGAGATTGCCATGGAGATTTGTTTGAGAATATAGTGAGCATTTATAGTTTCTGTATATAATGCATAGCAATGGGCAAATATATATGCTTAGACTTAGACACAACCACAACTAAGCATGTATAAAATTTTACCAGTAGAAAAGCAGCCTTTTCAAATGAAACAAATACTTCTAAAACATTGCTTTAAATAAATCTTTGTGTCTCTTAAAGTAATTATTCTACGACTGTGTATTGTAATAACAGAGGAGAGAGGAAATAATTTGACCTCTCAATTTGGTTCTAAAGTAACCAAGCCAGTCTGTGTGGACTCTTGACAAAAAGAAACAATTATTTAAAGCTCTGGATACAAATGAGGTGATTAACTGTGTAACAAACATTTGTATATACCTTTGATTTGTTTTGAATATTTTTTTTCAACAAGTAGTTTCTTTGCTGTCTGTTTATTGTTGAAATTTATCGCCAACAAGTCAAAGGCACTCACTATAAAGAATCCTGACCGTGCATCCATCCATGTACATAAACACCTGACATTGGTGAAGTAGCCAAGATTATACAGTGGTAAGCTGCAATAGAAGAAGATGTGAATGACAGAAGAAGTAGACCTATATACAGACAGCTGTAGTGGTGGCGAAAATATTGAAGAGTTTACAACCACACATTTAACCATGTCATCTGATCTTGATAAATGGGTCAAAAGAGGTGAACAACTTGGGCATAAAGATGGTGATCTAACAACAACAAGAGAGAGAAGAGTGTCAACAGAGAAGAGAGGGAGAAAGACTAAAAGAAGAAAAGGAAATAGACAAATAATAAAAGCACAAATTGAGAAAGAAGAGAATGAGAGGCAGGAGAGACTGGAAAGAGAGAGAATAAGAGTACAAACTGCAAAAGAAGAAAAAGAGAGTGAGGAACGACTGAAAATAGAGAGAAAAGAGCACAAATTGAGATTGCCAAGCTCACCCAACAGAAAGAAGGACCCAAGAATGACAGTCGACCTAAGCTGCCCAAATTTGATGAACAGAAAGATAACATGGATGCTTTCCTGGAGGGATAAGAAAGATTTGCCTAAAGTCAGAACTGGGACAAATGTGACTAAGCAATCTGTCTCAGCTCATTTCTCACAGGAAAAGGACTATATGTATATGCTGGCATGATGTCAGAAGATGCCATGGATTATGACAAATTAAAAGTGGCCTTGCTGAAACACTATGAACTTACTTAGTAAGTTTCTCATGGGGAGTTCAGGGAAGTCAAACCTGACACTGGAGAAACTATTTCAGCTTGTGGCAAGTCTCCAGCAATACTTCACAAGATGGACTGACATGGCCAAATGTGAAAATAATTTTGAGGGACTGACAGATCTACCAATATGTAAACAGTTCGTGATCATGTGCTCCACTGACATGTCACTGTTCTTAAAGAAGAGAACACCAAAAGACGTGGACGAAATGATCAAGCTGGCAGAACAGTATATGGAAGCCCATGGAGTGAGTATAATTAGCAAGTCCAAGAGTAACCAGTTAAAGTTGAAACAAAATATCCCCAAAGGTGATAAGAGATCAACAGTCAGAAATGAGAAGAGGAGTGATATTTGTTATAAAATAGGGTACATTGCAAAGGAGTGTTAATCACTCACCAACAAGCAACAGCAAAAATATCAACATAAAGCAGTTGGAGCTACCTACAAAGATGGTGCTAACAAGAAATGAGTGACTATCACCATGGATGCTGCTACCAGAAGAAACAGAATAGAGACAACCCATCAGATTCACCACAAGAAGGAAGTGCTATTTACACGATTAAATGGGACCAGACTGATGGTCAGCTGAAGTTAGCAAATGAATCAACAATGCTAGTAGTGATTGAAACATGTGACAAAAACATCAAGAGGCGTCAACAAATCATAACATGCCAGAAGGGGAAGGCTATGTTGGGGACAGGAAAGTTAAAGTCTTACGAGACACTGGGTGCAGCAGTGAGAATCAGTCTAGTATCTGATGACCAGATTACAGGCAAGGTACATCTGTGTGTGCTTATTGATGGGACAGTGAGAAAGTTTCCCATAGCAAGAATATAAGTGGACACTCCATACTATGTGGGAGACTTTAAGGCCATGTGTATGAAGGCACCCATTTATGACTTGGTGATTGGAAATATACCAGGCAGTAGATGTTTGGAGGAACTAGACAGAAAGAAGACTGATAAAACATCGGCAGTCACTACTAGAGCTCAAGAAAAGATAAGCAAGCAAGACATCAAGCTCCTTCAAGTCTTGAAAGGTGAAATCCCGAATGTAGGTCTACAAGAATTGAAGGAAGTGCAGAAGAAAGACCCTTCACTGCAGAAACTTTGGAACAGTGCCAAGGGTAATGTGGAACACAAAACTAAAGGGAAGAAATCCTACAGGATAGAGGACCAGAAAGGAGTATTGTACCAGATCTATCAGAGCAGTTATACTGGTGGAAGCTGAACACATCAAAGGCAGTCAGAAGAACTTCTATGACAAGAAGGCCAAGGATCGATGTTTCAATGTCGGATGGAAGGTCTTGGTTCTGCTACTTACAGACAACAACAAACTCACCCTGCAGTGGAAAGGACCTTTTGAAGTGCATGAAATGCACAACAGAATGGACTATAAGGTTAAAGTAGACAGGACGACCAAGATTTACCGTACCAATATGTTGTAGAGGTACTTTGAGAGGAAAGAAGACCTAACAGGTGCAGCTTTTGAGACACAGATAGCATGGCAAGTGCGGCAGTCATAGAAGCAGAACCTGAAGACAGTGACTTTGTTATAGAATATAAAGATATACTAGGCCTAAAACTACTGGGTGGAAATGAGACATAAAAAATGTCAACATCGGTGAAGAACTGACTGGCAAGCAGAAGAAGGAGGTACAATATTTACTGTACCAGTGTAAAGATAGATTAGGCAAGACAGACTTCATGCAACACAAGATCGAGAAGAAGACAAAGGATCCTGTCAAGTTGAAGCCCTATCAGATGCCCTATGCAATTAGAGACTAACAAGAGAACTGCAAGTGTTTGTGAAGACCATATGAGGAGACTTCGTGTATAAACTGAGAACAGTCTTGGTATATAATATAAAAATATTGTAGATGTTTTTCTTGCTGAGGGGTTTATTGTTGGATATACAAGACTATTCAGTTTGAGAGGTATTATATAATTTATTTAGTGATAATTGTGTTGTTTATACAAGAGTCTTTACGGAACTGCACAGAAATATTTGTTTTAAAATGTATTATACTTTTCTCTCGGAATTACATTAATAAATGATACACAATGGCAAAATCTCAATTATAAAATATATGATAAGTAAAACAATTTTTTATTATAAAATTAGAAATATTATTTTTACCTAATTTTTTAAATTTGATATCATCCCTTATCTTCTGCTACACGTTATTTTCACTTTGTCAAGTGAAAAAACTATTTCATTTTGTTCAGCACTTTATCAATCGACATCATTTACTTAACTTTTTTTCACTTTGTTCAGTGCCTTTGAACATAAAATTCGCCATCCTGTGTTTAACTTTGTTCACATTATTAAGCACTATGGATCATATCATCCGGCATTCTTTAGTTAACGTTTTTCCTCTTTGTCCAGCACTTTAAAATGTATCATCCGTAATAATATTTTACTTTTTTCACACTGTTCAAAACTCTAATAAATATCATTCTTCGTCGTTTATTTAACATTTTTGTTTACATTGTGTTTAGCATTCAGGAACATATCATCCTCTACTTTGTCCAGCACTCTAGCAAACATCATCCGTCATCTTCCGTTGTTCAGTAATATTGAAGATATCATCTTTCATCCTTTATTTCACTCTGCCCAGCACCCTGGAACATATCATCCATTATCCTCTATATATTTTTTTCACTTTGTTCAGGAATTTGAAACATATTATCCTTCATCATCCATTTAACGTTCTTCAGTTTTAGGGTAGGTTGGATTAGAGATATCAGTTATGTAATATTATACCTTCCAAAATTAAATCTTTACAAATGAGATTCAATTTAACGTTATTTAATTCCTAAGGACGACTTATTTAACTAAAGAATAAACACGCTTAATCCCGAATGCAGAAACACAATAAATAAAATAGCAAGATAGTTCAATTAAAATTTAAGACCAGTTGATATAGATTTGAAGGTCAAAGTACAATAGACCATTAAATATGCCCCCCCCCCCCAGTGGCACAGCAGAATGTCTGCGTACTTACATTGCTAGAAACCGGGTTTCGATACCCGTGGTGGGTAGATCATAGATTGTGTAGCTTTGTGCTTAATAAGAAATAATTAAATATCGTAAGGAAACACAATAACTTCGAATCACGTCAATACCAAAATATGTGTGAGAAGATCCATTAATCAAAATTGTTCTTAAATTTTCCAAAGATGTTCAAATTTTAAAATTTAAAAGCTGTCTTAAGTGTCACCTAGTGTCAAGTGAACGATTCTAATAAGTAAAAAGTATAACGTACTGTAGATGATTAAAA